TTTCTTTTTAAGATTGGGTGATCCTAAGCATGTTTATAGGCAGTGGGGAAACAACCAATAGAAAGTGAGAGATTTAAAAGAGAAAAAGGAGAAAGAAAGAAGTAATAGAATAAGTTCCTAAAGGAGAAGGGACCAAGAATACAACTGGTAGGGTTAGCATTGTCAAGAAAGGTCACTTCACTTTATGAGACTGGAGCAAAGGAGAAAATGGTGAAAACAGAGAAACTTTGCCCTGTGCAGAATGGTAGATAAGTAATATTCAGAGAAATTACTTCAATCTTCTCAGGAAAATAGATGATGTATTAATGCTCCAAAAGAGAGGGGGTTGAATTGAATTGAATTTAAATTGGAATTGAAGTTAAAATAAAGGAAGAGGCTTGAAAACAGTATCTGTGGGAATATTGATAGAGTTCACCAGAGATTAACAATAATAATAATAATAACAATAATAATTTAGATAGCACTTATATAGCACTTTGAAGTTTGCAAAATACTGTAAATGTTATCTCTTTAGGTCTTCACAACAACCCTGTGAGGTAGGTACTATTATTGCCCCCATTTTACAGATGAGGAATAAAAAGCAGTACAATAGGAGCAGCTAGGTGGTGCAATGGATAGGGCATTGGCCCTGAAGTCAGGAGGACCATGAGTTCAAATCCAGCCTCAGATACATAACTCTCTCTAGCTGTGTGACTCTGAGCAAGTCACTTAACCCCCATTGCCTAATATTAAAAAAAAAAAGCAGTACAATGGTCAGTGTGGAAGTAGATAGCAAGAATTTGAAGTGTCAGAAATATGAAAATTCAGAATGAGATGAGCTCAATGATGAGTGCTGAGGACACTTTTAAAGGAGTTTTCTTATACTGGAGGGGGAAAAAGATTTAATGAAGGCTACTAGAGATGAATATGAAAAAGAGAATGGACAATGGAAAAAAATGCAAACTTACTCAAAAAATAACCTTTCAACTAAAAAAGAACAAAATTGATAAATAAGGAATAGAAACCCAAGATAAAAGAGATACTTAAAGAGTTACCTGACTGCCCTTGATGATTTCAGATTACCTGACCCTGATGAATTACATTGCAAAATGCTAAAAGAACTGGCAAAAAAACAGTGCTAAGTCACTCTCAGTGGTCTTCAAGAGTGCAGAATGAGAGCAATGCTCTACAGGACTGAAGGAAAACAAATGTGGTCCTGATTTTCAAAAAATGAATTGAGTACAGTCTGCAGAGTATAGGCCAGTGAGCTTGACTTTGATTTCTGACAAAATTCTAGAACACATTATTAAATGGATCATTAGTGAACATGTGGAAGACAAAAATGGTAATCACAAAGAGCCAACATGGTTTCATCAAATACAAGTTACACTCAGCAAATTTTATTTTCTTTTTTCCTAGGATACTAGACTAATGGATATAGACACTGTTTTTCTAGACATTAGCAAAGCACTTGACCAAGTTTTGCAATCTTGTGGAAAAGATGCAAAGATGTGGATTTGATTATAATATAGCTGGAGGGATTCAGAATTGTTTTGAATGATTAGAACTAATATATAGTCATTAATGGAATGACGTCAGTCTGAAATAGCCTCGTATGATGGATAGAGAGCTGTACTTGGAGACAAAGTTCAAATTTTTCCTCTAGAAATTTCTAGTTATATGAAGCTGAGCAAATTACTTAACCTCTACTAGCCTCAGACATGTAGACTTATCCAAGTCTCAGAGAGGTTAGCAATCTGAACTGGTGAAAGGTGTCTGGCTGGCTAATTACTATCAACTGATAATCAATAGAGGAAGAACACCAGTGGGTACTCATGAACTATACCATTAGAAAGACATTTCCAACCATTCAGGGTTACCCCCAGAACCCTGGGGGAGGGGAAGAGTGAAGTAAAAGAAAATCACTCTGGGAACCCAGGTTGCTAATATGAATAGGGATTGAGAGAGCAGCCCCAGAGTCCATAATATATTTAAACAAGCCCATATAACCTAATCTCCCTGGACCCATTAGAACCAACCTGTAAAGTTATAGGAAGGAATGGTGTGCTAGAACATCAAACTAATAGTAAAAGCTGAGATGGCAGTGATATGATTAGGCATGTGTATCTTCAATACTCTTTGCCCACTAGTTCAATTTGTACATTAACAATAAACTTCATGGCTGTATCAAATAAATGTAAAGTATTGACTTTACTTGATGACAGTATCCTAAATAATTTTAAGCAGCTAAAATGTTAGGAACAACCTAATAGGAGTAAATTAGAGGGGATTTTTTAAAAGTAGATTATCAAATAAAACAAATTTTCCGTGTTGGCTGTGTCCAAAAATGTATGTCTCATTTAGCACTTGGAGTCCATCACTTGTCTGTCAGAAGGTGGGTGAAAATTTTTTTAATAGAAGCAAAATATAGGTAAGTAACAAGGCTTTTCCTTGGCACCAAGGTTATTGGGTTTTGTTCCTAACAGATTGTATATATTTGTATGTGTGTGTGTGTGTGTGTGTGTGTGTGTATGTGTGTATATATATATATTATATATATTATATATATATTTATATATATATATATTATATAATACATGTATATATATATATATATGTGTATGTATGTAGGTAGGTATGTATATATGTGCATATGTATGTATATAGTTTGTGTGTATGTATGTGTATATGTAGGTGTGTGTGTAAATACACCATGAAGGCAGGAATGCTGGCAAGGTAGTAGACAACAATAACCTCACAGAGAAACCTGGGAAGACTTGCATGAACTGATTCAGAGTGAAATAGGCAGAACCTAGAAAACAATTCATACAATAACAAAAACATCATAAAGGAAAAAAAATTTAAGACAAGAACTAAGTTCAATGCAATTTCTCATAGAAATCCAGAGGACTAGTGATGTTACCCACCTTCTGACAGAAAGGTGATGGACTCCAAGTGCTAAATGAGACATGCATTTTTGAACACACCCAACATGGGAAGTTTGTCTGGCTTGACAATCCCTATTTGTTATTAGGGTTGTCCTTTTTTCTTTTTCAATTGAGAGGAGAGCGAGTTGAAAGGGAGAGAGAGGCTAGCAATAAGGTTGCCCAAAAAAAAGAAAGTAAAGAACATCATTAACTCATTTAAAAGAAATGCATTGTTATTTGTCCTTCATTTTCAAATAGGAATAATGACATTACAGGGTGATGTTTTGACTTGCACAGAAATTGGATTTAAATGAGGCAGGGTTGCACAAAGTTGTCAGCCTCCCTCTCTCTTCCAGAGTCATTGAAGTCCCATGGCAAGACAAAATTCAAGACAACTGGCAACAGCTCAGGATGCAGTAGATGACCTTGGTGTCTTTGATGGATGTCTGACCAAGCTCTAAGCATTCCACAGGGCCTGCTTCAGCTACCTTCATGGCTGTAGGAACAAATTGTTCTCATCAGCCTATTCCACCAGGGAAATTTTCACGTGCTTGGGGTAGATATCTGCCTAACTCACCAACAGATTTAAGGCCTGTCAATTACCTTCAACCTTGCTTAGCCTATCTATCCTAAGAAGGTTAACCTGGGTGTGGCTGCTGTGCATGCTACACCTTCTTGGATGCACAGATGAGAGTTGGATGAATCAAGTGGACATCAAAAGTAAGTGAGCAGTGCTGAAAAGAGCTCAGCAAGTGCTCACATCAGAGGTGCTAGTCCTTCTCAACACCCCATACACACATACATAGAAGATAACAGAATGGAGGCCAAAATGAAACACAAACAAGCCGGACAGTTTCAGATCTTAGGTGTTGAATTCATTATAGGGGAAAAGCTGCATGCAATAGAGTTTCATGCCTTCAAAAATGTAAAGGGAAACAATTTTGAAAGGCACAAAAACTCTGATCACAGCTCTGAAAGACTGGTGATAAAGCATACTTTTCACCTCTTCAGAAAGACATGTATAAATCACAGAATGAGACATAAATTTTTAGCCATAACCAATGTGTGGATTTATTTTGCTTGACTACTTGGTTGCTACAAAAGAGAGTTTTTATTTTGATACAAGAGAGTTGGGGAAAGTGAGTGGGCAATGATAATGATGCAAAAAGAAAAGAGCAACAAAAATAATAGAAGAGTGAAATTCAGAAAGTAACAGACAAGCAGAGTAATTTTGGCACTATCAGATTAAATTATGTATATGTGTGTGTATGTGTGTGTGTGTGTGTAAATATATATGTAAAGAGAGATTCATATCTGTATGTGATCTTTTTGTTCTTTTTATATATATGTTCATGCTTCTTTATGTTTGCTAAGTTCATGATTTTTTTAAGTAATGGGATTGAAGAGCAGGATGATCAAAGGGCTAATAATGGAGTGCCCACCTGTTCTAAATAAATTAAATTCTCCTGCTTTAGACAAATTATACCCCAAATGAGTGAAAGACATTTTATTCTTTAGGCATTATTCTTTAATGTCTGACATAATAACTGCCTTTGTTAATAATCTTGGGGAATTGTGAAAAAACAAGGAAGGTACAAGAATACTGGATTGGGCAAATATTCTAATTTCCTTTATTTTCTATTTTCTTGACTTTAATTTTCAAAATCTCCTTATTCATGCTCATTTGAGGAATTACTGATTTACTGCTTTCCTAGACTTTTAAAAAACTGTATTCTCAATTCATTAGTCCTCTTCTATCTCTTTTGTTATTGTATGTTCAGATGTACAAATTTTCTTCTTAGAACTGCTTAGCACATTTTTATCAATTTTTATGTCTTGTCTCACTATTAGCATTTTCTATGATATAATTTTCAGAGTACCTTGAGGGATTTAAGGTATCTCTTTTCTCTGCCATTGGCTTGAGCCTACACCAACCGTATCCCCTTCCATTTTAGGAAACCAGTGAATAGAACTCCAGTTTCATTTAATAATTTAACATCACACAGCTTTCACAAAGGTATATTTATTTTACAGATATAGCAAGACCAAATATATGAACATTTTCCCCCACACCTTGGGGGCATAATTCTTCCTATACAACTTGGGAGTGGGGGCACATTAAGTTCACAATATATCTCAGCTCCTACAAAGCATTGGTCCTACCATGTTTACATCTAAAGTTGACATAAGGCTGCTGGCTTCTGCTGGACTTGAGTCCTGAATGCCTGATCCTCAAGATGTAGCTGATGGGCTGTTCTCAATAACTAGGCCATATTCTTGAACTTCTGCATCTCCATGGCTCAAACACTTGAGCCAAATTGGGGGCTCTACTCTCTGTAATTAGAATGGAAAAAAGAAACAAATGAAAAAACCAAGGACCCAGGCCCATTTCTTGAGAGTCATATGACCTCAGGGAAGGAACATCCCATGGCCCTTTCGCTTACAGCTTGGCTCTCTCACCAGAACCTATTAGTGATGAAGTCAGTGAAAGCCACAATCAGTGCTGACTCAGGCCCTTTTGAAGATGTTGGCAATTCTGGCTGTATAGCCAAAGGCTCTTTCTAACCAGGTGCCCAATTAGAATCAGCTATAGAATGTTCTCATTATTCTCCCAGAGGCTGCTCCCAGGGATTCTCTGTGTGGCTGATACAATCTTGTATTCTTTTTTTCCCTCCATTTTATTTCCCCTCCTCAAATCCTCAGGAGAGAACCAATCCATTTTTAGATTCTCTATTTTCCTTGCTTACTTTCCTCAATACCCTTTGAAGACATTACAGTTCTGAAGGGGCACTTATTTCTTCTCTCTTTATTAGAATGTCAGCCTTTCCTCATCATACAGCTCAAATAAATTTGCCTTCCTATGCATTTCCTTTGAATTTCTGCTTTGCAGTTATTATGGAATTATTTTCTCATTCTAGACTAGATTTTTGGCATCTTTAGAGTTACAGTAATTTTTATGCTGGTTGGTATCTTCTTAAATTAACTCATTTTTCCAACTTTAGTTCTTGAATTGGGATTTTGTGTCAGAGCCAGGTTCCTCTTTTGCCGCAGTTTTGGGCAGGGTGGTTGACCCTGTTTGGTTTTAACTCGAGTTACCTGGATTCTTATCCTGACTTCCGCCTCGGGATTATACATATCCCTCCACCCCATTTTTGATATTTAAATCACTATATCTTCAGGACCTTTTATTTCGTCTCAGGTGCTAATGACCTTGGGGCCATAGGCATCTGAGATATTTTGATCAGAGTACTGCTGTGACACATTGGGCCTTGCTAGGAGTTTCAGGCAAATCTGGGACTTTCTGAGCACTCTAGGACTTTCTCAGTGAAATCATCCCTCTAACCCATCTCTGATTGCATTGGGAGGCCATTAGCTTATTTGCCTAAAGTGGTCTTGGTTTCTTATTGTCCATGGGCTTCTGGCTGAATTCGTTTGCAGTTCAGATGTGGAAAAAATAATTTACTATAGTTTTTCTTTTGATTTCTTGCTCTGCCTGGTATGAATTTTGTGTTTTTGTTGGATTAGATATATGGGAGTTAAGTAGTCTGCTTCTGTTCAGGCAACTATTTCAGTCAGAAGTCTCTGACCCGCTAATTACTCAGGATGTCATCTTTTAGTCTTTAAATCCATATCGTTTGTTCAATTTTGTCTTATTGATCAAATTTTAATTATATTATGATATGGAAAAGATGATTTAAGATTTCTTTCTTTATACATTTACTTATGAAATATTTATGCCCTCTGACCAATTTTTAATATACTCATAAAGCCTAAGACAAACATAAAATATCTAAGATTCCCACCCATTAATCTCCATAAAGCTATCAAATTGAATTGTTCCAAAATTTTATTGTTTAGTCATTTTTTTCCTTATTTGTCTTTTGGTTAGATTTCTCAAGCTCTGAGGGAGAAAAGTTATTTACATCTTATGTCTTGATATTTAAGTTTTCATTGCATTTCTGTTAACCTTTCATTTTTTAAAAGTTTTTAAAGTTTTTGTACTTTAAATTTTTCTTGATAATTTGATTATATGCCAAAATTCCTGCTGTGTTCTGGATTTTTAGCAACTAAAGATGAAAGTTCCTGACCTCATTGAAGGATCATCTTTTCTTATAATGGCTCATGCTCATTGGCAGGAATAGGGGATGGGACAGGACAAAATTATTTGCTTTGCTTTTCAGTATATCACATTCCAGTCTCTCTTTTCCTTCCTTTACCCACTGTGTGATCTATATGATGAGAATTGATGCTTTTTCACAAGAATTGCTTTCTGCAGGCTATTTATAATATTCTTAATTTGGTGACTACATTTATGAGTGAATTAGTCTGAATATTTCTCTCTGTATTTATGGATTCTATTGATTTACATTCTGTCCTACATTAAGAAAACAGGCAATATTTCCAGGCAAAAAAAAAACTAAGAATTTCATGGGGATAGTATTCAGACACTTTGTTTTTTCAGATATTCCTGTGATACTAATAATTATAAGATTGTCTCTTTAAGCTCTGCCTTCCAGCTCTATTAACTTGGTCTGTAAAGGTATGAAAGCATATTCTAGGTTGTTTTTTCTTAAACTTGCCTTTTGATTTTGCTCCATTATCCCTTCATTTTTTTTTTCTCTTCTACTTGGGTCATTCTATTTCTCAAAAAATTTACTGCTTTAGTAAGATTTCCTGCCATCCTTTATAAGTTGAATATTATGTTTGTGGTCTCATGTATGTCATTACAGACACCAAATCTTCTTTCATATATATGACTCAATTTCTAAACCACTCTGAAGGTTTCTGTGGTAGTCCATTCTCTCCTTTGGGGGTCTAGTGGCTAATGTGGCCTCCTTGTTCTTTCCTTTGGGCAATTTTTGCTAATTTTATTTTACGTTAAAGGAGATATTCATTGTGTTAGAGTTATGATTTTTTTCTCACTCACTTCAGTTTCTTTATTAGTTTTCACTTCAACTTAACAAATATGTATTAGATGCCTATGAAGGTCAAGGAATAACAGACATTGTGATATAGCAGATAGTCATATCAGAGTTAAACAGACCTAGTTCAAGCCTTTCCTTACCTACATACTAATTATGTGACCACGGCAAGTCATTTAGCCTCTCAGAGGCCCAGAAAACTCTCTCAAACTATAAGTTACAGAACAGTTTGTGATCTTCATCAGTGGAGGTAATGACATTCCCTACACTAATGAAATTAGAGTTTCAGAACAAAAATAAAATTATGAAGCATTGGGCCAGGCAATGGTGATAAAAGGCAAAAAAGAAATAATCCCTGCCCTCAAGGAATAAGGATCTAGTTTTCAGAAGCGTTGTTTCTTTTTCTCTCTTTCTTAGTTGTTCTTTTATTTTCTTTGGTATATGATAAAATAGAGTTAGCTTTAGTCATGACTCATCCATCTTCCTAGAAGTACACCCAAATGGTTTGCTTTACAAAAAAAGGGGGGGAGAAGACAAGTGTATTTGGCTTGCTGAGATTGCCATCAATCCCAGGCAAAATTCTACGTCCCACTTGGCTGCACTCCTTTGCACTCCATCATGACCCCAGGAACCTTATCCTCAGGAAATCAGTCATCCTATAAGATTGCATAAGCCTTGGTACTCACACTTAAGGAGCTCCCTCTACCTCTTGGATTGGAGGGAAGCTAGGCAGCTAGTTGACTCAGTATTTTAGTGTCTTGGGCCTATAATCAGGAAAGTCTGAGTTCATATCCAGCCTCAGACACTCATTAGCTGTGTGAACCTGGGCAAGTCACTTAACCTCTGTTTTCCTCAGTTTCCTCAATCTCCTCAACTGTAAAATAGGGATAGTAACAGCACCTACCTTGCAGAGTTGTTGTGAAGATAAAATGAGATAATATTTGTAAAGCACTTAGAACCATGCCTGGTACATAGTAGGTTCTATAGAAACACCTATTCCCTTTTGCAGAGTGAAGAGCTCTTCACAAGACCTCCATTCAAGGAGGCAAACCTAGTCTGCCATCACTTCATTTCCCATCTGGCTGCACGCCTTTAGATTTCTCCATCATGCCTCTGTGTTGTCTACGTATTTCCTCACTTCTGTACTTTTCCACTTCCCTTTGTGTGTTGTGTTCCCCATCAGATCATAAGCTCCAGAAGGACAGAGACTCTTTTTCTTTTTCATATTTGTATCCCTAGCACTCAGCACAATACCTAGCACAGACTAGGTGCCTAATAAATGTTTATTGATTAGAGTGACTATTATATTATTAAACATTTGGTATGTGAAGACTCGGAAAATACCACTAGGAGCTGGCATGGCTCAACTAAAAATAAATTATGCCAGTCTAATTTCCTCTTTTAATTTTTAAAAAAGTAAGAGTAGTAGTAGTGGTTGTAGTAGTAGTTTTTAAATTCTATAACTACTTGCTAGCTGTGTGACCTTGAACAAATTACTTGCCTTCTCTTCACTTCAACTTACACATGTGTGAAATGGGGTGGAGGGAAATGAGGCGGATTAAATGATCTCCAAAGCTCCTCCTGCACTGACTTAAAACCATGGGAGAAAGCTTTCAGGGGCAATTTCATCTACCAAATCCCATCATTATACAACTGAGCAACCTGAGATCCCTCAGAAGTGGAATGATTTACCTAAAGAAGGCAGAGACAGTAAATGCCATAGTTGGGCTTCAAACCTAGATAGTCTCACTCCAAACAGAGGGTTCTTGACTTCTAAGGAGGGGTCACTAAGAGCACATTATGCATTCTATGTTCTTCAGTAAGGTTTTGTGGGACTTGTTGCATTTGTGCAGACCCACAGATTTAACCTTTGGACACCACCAAGTCTGGTTCCTATGATGGGATTCAGATCTGTCAGAAAACAAGACTGCAATGTCATGAGAGATGAAGAGTTTGTAGGGCCCAACTCTCTGGACTATATTATTTTCTTTTGCTCTTTCAGAGGCTAAGCTGGCAGTCTTTCCCCTTGAGCTACATTTTCATTTCAGCTAAGTTTTAGTCTTACAGTTAGTTGCTAATACTATTTGTCAATTTTACTTCACATCTCCAGAGGGTAAGGACTACTATATCTTTCAGCTGTCTAACCAACAAGGAAATAAACTCACTGCGTAGATCCTTTGCCAATAAAAACATGCAGAATCTTGATTTCAACAAGGATTTAACAAAGGTGCCTTGTACTTGTCCTTATGGACAAGATAAATAAATGTGGCTTCTGATAATAGCAAGGTTAAGTAGAATAAAAGCTATTTGACCGATTTTTATTCAGTGTTGATTAATGAATCTTTGCCCACCTCAAGATAAGTTTCACATGCAGTGGTTCTCAAAGTGTATACTACAACTCAAATATACCAT